ATTAAGTCACTACAAAGAAAAATTATTACAAACTTGGGATCAGAAGAAGTATATTGACAGTCAATGTATGCACAAAGGCACCCATCTTGTTCACAGTGAAGAAGTGGTGCTCCCAAACCATGAGTATCGAACCCAGAACATCGCAGTCAAAATAACGCTGGGATGGCAACTGATGCCTGGTGGCCTCCGGTGAGTCAGTGAGAACTATTTATCCCACCAGTGTTTTATATAACTGGTACTGGTGATCTAAGTGTTTCCCAAAATAGTCTATACCACAAGGGGACTGGGGGGGGGGGGGGGGGGCATACTCGGTGGGGGGCAATTGCAGGGCACTATTTGTTCACTTAAAGGAGTCAGATTTCCAGGGGGAAGCTGAGTGAGTTTGGATCCCCCCACCCCCCCCAAGAAAGAGAGAGGTGTCCCACTAAGTTAAGGGGGCCTCTGACCTAAGTGAAGATAAAGCCAAGGCAATAAAAACAGCTCTTCCTCAGGGGGTGCCGAGGTTCTGCTGAGACCCCGCTGCACACAAGCCCTCCCACTAAAGAGCGTCACCTTCCCAAACCATACCCTTTCCCTGAGGCAGCCAATGTCCAAATGACTTGTCAGACCAAAGGCCCCGTCCCCATGACTCAGGGGAGATGACTCCAAAAGCCATGCGGGCTCCTGGCTCCCTTTTCACTGCAGCACAATTCAACTCCTTCTTCTGCCCATTCCTGCCTCGCTTGCTTCCTCACTAGTAATGCCAAGGGCACCCTATGTAAGTCTGTAGCACTGTAGCACTGTCCTCCAGTCGTTCATCGATTTGCTTGAGCGGGCACCAGTAACGGCTCCATTGTAAGACTTATCGTTACAGTTTTTGGCATACTGAATACCCCATGGGGAGCTTGCCAGGCTCTGCCATGTGGGCGGGTACTCTCGGTAGCTTGCCAGGTAGCATCCCTCTGAGAGGGACGGAGGACTCGAACCCGGGTCAACCGCGTGGCAGGCAAATGCCCTTCCCGCTGTGCTATTGCTCTGTAAGTCTATCGCAAGGAAATCTCTAGCTCAGCGACCACTTCCAGGGCCTGACACAAATATCTAACACTTAGTAACTTCAAATTCTAAATCAGGCCCTGTTCATATTTGAGAGATATGAATCTTTCTATAGATATGCAGGTAGATACTATAATTATAAATATGCAAAAACAATCTCAGAGAAGTCTAATGACTTGCCCAAGATCATATGTTATTTGAGAGCTAGGCTGTGAATATAGGCCTATCCAATGCAAAGCCAATCACCATAAACTATGTGAACTCCCATAAACTATGTAAACCCCATCTACTAGCAAGAGCTACTCAGTCCTTAAGGCAGATCTGACAGCCAAGGGGTTTGGTTGGCAGTGAGGAATAGAAAGATTGGTGAGCTACGGCCATCCATTTAAAGGGAACTTATTATAAAAGGACTTGGTAGCCAGACCACTAAAAACAAGCAACTATAATCAAGACCTCCTATTTTTAAGCCTGCAGCACAAAAATGGAGGCCTAATGGAACCAGAATTCCAGAATGAAATACACAGTTATAATACACTGCATAATTACTAGATTCTAAAAATAATGATTGGCAAATCTTGCCCACCTACAGTCAAATGCTACAATATGTGCAAACAGATGTTTACTATGTAGGAAGAAGATCGTGCTTCCTTCTGCTTCCTCCTTTTACTCCAATTCCTGAAAAAAAAAAGCCCCATAAACCAAGAGTCTGAAACTGGACAAAAACATTTCTCAAGTACAGTGAGGTCTCACAATCAATACTGAACTACCCAAGATGCACTGCTGTAAGCAGTTCAAGTTCAACCACAACCAGAGAGAGCTTCTCCAGGCTCTCCCTAGCCAGCCATCTGAATGAGGAGTTATTCAGACCTAACGCCACACAGTGAACTGAAGAGCCTCACCACACTGTCTAACAACTGTAAAACATAAACCAGTCTATAAACTCTAAGGCCTGGGGTGGAGGTCAGAGGTACAGCAACTTTCTGCATACATGAGGCCCTGTGTTCAATCCCTTGGAACACTTGGGTGTTGTGGGGAAGGGGTACAGGGGTATTCTAGACACTCAACATTCACAAACAAATACTAATGACGTTAAGTGACGTCATGTAGTTGGCTCAGTTGCAGAGGTAGATCACGACTTTCTTGAACATTGAGAACCAGTTTCAAGTTTAACAGAATGTTGACTTCCCACATTTTGGAATAATTGTGTGATCTGCAACATCCACAACTGCAAAATCTAAAGACATAGTTAAGAAAAAAAAATGGAAATAAACTTAGCAATACTAAAATATTCCAGTTAATGTCATTTTAAAATTCAAATACATGTCGGGTTTATCAGTTGATTCTGAGTTTGCAGTTTTTGTTCCTTCCTTCCAAAACTCACCGAAAGTCTCTTTAAAGCACAGCTTTAAGCTGGGATGTCAGCCAGCCAGAGAGCACCTGCCTTGGTGTGTGAGGTACTGGATTCGATTCTAACACCATCAGAAATAAAGAATAAAGCATGGCTTTAAATGTGTGACTTCCTTATTTATCAGTTTTGTGCACAAAGGCATCCAAGTTCCTAGATCACCAACAGCAGCGAGAGGTACATCAAATAAAGGCAAATCATTCACTGGGACTTCACACCATGTCAGAACCAAGAAGTTCACTAGCATCATAAATTTCTGGTCACTGCTCTAAAACCAGGTGGTACCATCTATCTCATTATAGCACTGTTTGGCCATTTCTCTTCACTCCCCCCCATTCATCTAGTAAAACAAATCTGAAACACATCTCTTCACAGAGATATACACGGAACTGCCAAATACAACTGACTTTTCTCTTGTGGGGAGTGATAATAACACCGTGACCAGCTTAATTTTACATTTTCAGCCAACAAAAATTTCCTCACACCAAAGCAGTTTAACCTTTAAAAGAAAGAGATAACAAGATAGACCAACATGAAGCCTATGTATACACCAAGCAGGGGAAAAACCACCACAGGAGAACAGAGGTGGGACTAGCCTCTCCTGACTATCATTTATGGCCTTTTTTTTTTAACACAACGCAGTGCTTGTAACATCTGTGATTAATATTTTTAATATTATTAATATTAATATTTGAACTGGATGACAGCTATAGCTGATCATATACTTTTCCTTTTTTTTCTGCTTTGAGTCACACCCAGTGATGCACAAGGATTACTCCTGGCTCTGGACTCAGGAATTACTCCTGGCGGTGCTCAGGGGACCATAGCGTTGCTGGAGATCGAACAAGGGTCAGCCGTGTTCAAGGCAAATGCCCTCTCAGCTGGACTACAGCTTCAGCCCGGATCATGTACTTTTCCTTGAGTTTACTAACAAACGTAACAGGTCCTTAAAATGACCAGAAGTTGGGATTGAGCAAGGAAGGCCTCACAAAAACCCAAGAAAGAGCCACACAATCAGTACCAGACTTGCACTCAGTTGCACAGGAGAGGAAACTGAGGCAGGGACACTGACCTTCCCAAGATGACAAGGCTCTCAAAGTCAGGGACACTGACCTTCCCAAGATGACAAGGCTCTCAAAGGCTGAGCCAGAGTGGACCCTGCCTGTCTTCCTCCCCCTCTGCTATATCCATGCCAGGAGGAAGTTTAAGCCAGAAAAACAAAAGACCACTGGAGAAGCCAGTCTGATCAAAAGTTGGATTGTCAGCCACAAATGGGTTCCATTTCTTCCTGGAAAAAAAAAATAAAATAAAAGCAAACTTCCTATTTCTAAATTGTAGCGACACACAGCCAGGATGTCTCTCATCAACCCTGCTAAAATGTTCACAGCACCTTGGGGCCTTCCTCCACCTGCTTTCCTAAAGCAGGTGACTAACTTGAAAAGGGGGAGGGAACTGCATCAAGAAGGCTTTGCAGGCAAAGCAGAAGTCAGGTACAGAAAGTCCTAACCCTCCTTCATTAAAATATTCTTATTCTTCCCTTCCTCCCCTCAAGAAACTGCCTGCCTGGAGGAATCAGGAGACCTGCCCGGGTAAGTCAAAAAAGTGGCTGACTGGCAGCCTAGCAAGAAAAGCCCTGTCACTGTGGTGACAATGGCAGCGCCCTCACCTCTGCACCATGCCCTGGGTGTCCCCTTCAAAAGCGCAGCATTCAGGAGCCTTGCTTTGCAGGAGGCCCACCCGGGTCCGACCCTCAGCACCACTGAGCGATTCCCCACCGCCCCGCCCAGCCAAAAAGTGCTCCCTGCTGAGCACAGCGGCTGGAGGAAGCCCGGGGCCACACTGCCACCGGGTGTGGCCCAAAAAAAAAAAGCAAAGCAAAAAAAAAAAAGCAAAAAGCAAGCAGCAGCAGCATTCAGTCACGACCCACAATTACTAGATTCTTCCAAAACACGTGAGGCAGAAATACAGAGAGGGAGGATTTTTTTTTTTTTTTGGTGGTTGCTTTTTTTTTTTAATTTAAACTCCGAGCTGGGAACGGAAGGCGAGTTCCAATTCTCTTCCTTCCTCTAGCGAGCAAGAGAATTTCGAGAACCAACCCCACCCCGGCCCCGCAACACACACACACACACACACACACGCACACACGCACACACGCACATGCATGCACATGCACACACGCACATGCATGCACATGCACATGCACACACATGCATGCACACACGCACACACATGCACGCAGTCCAAACGCGTCCGGGGCCTCTTTACCTGTGACAAGCAACACCCAGGGCAAGCCCGGGCTCGCTGCCCCGCCGGGCTAAGCCTCTGCACCTAGGGGTGTGCGCGGCGCGGGCGCGGGGCGGGGTCCGAGTTGGGGGGGACTGCGCCGGGGAAGGAAGGAGGGACGGGGAAGTTTCCGCGCGGGCCGGGGTGGGCGCGGGTGCGAGGGGAGGGGAGGGGCGGGGCGGGCGCTCCCCCCCACCCCCGCCCCGGCTCGCATTGTCCACGCGCCGAGCCCGTCGAGGGAGGAAGGGAGGCAGGGCGGGGAGCGCGCCGCGCGTCTTACCGTTCTTGGCGTCGCCCGGCGCGGCCGGCCCGGCCGAGGCGGCGTGGGCGGCGTTGGCGGAGCCCGCGCCGCCTCCTCCGCCGCCCGCCGCGCCCCCGGGGCCGGCCGCCGCCGCTCCGCTGCCGCTGCCGCTGCCCCCGCCGCTGCCTCCGCCGCCGCCGCCGCCGCCGCCGCCGCCCGCCGCCGCCGCCTGGGCGCCCCCGGCCGCCGCGCCCGCCGCTCCCAGCGCGCCGGCTCCATTTTCCTGCTCGTCCCCGCTGCTGTTGGCGCGTTTGTTCTTGCGGCCGCCTTTACAGCTCTTGGGGTTGGGCATGGCGGGAGCCGCGGCGGGAGAGGCGAGGCCAAGCGTCCCCCCCACCCCCCGCCCCGCCTCGCCTCGCACCGCCTCCCGCTCGGGCTCCCGTCTAGCCGCGACGCCCGCGCCGCGCCATCCCGGCCGCCGCCGCCCGCCGCCGCCGCCGCCGCGCCCTCCCCGGCCGGCGCCCGGGGCTCGCTCGGGGACCCGGCGCGAAAAGGCGCGTCTCCGGCTTGTTTTGATTCGGCGGCGCTGACACGCTCCGGCCCCGCCCCCTCCTCCCCCCCCACCTCCCCCCCACGCCCTCCCCGCCGCGCGCGCGTGACGCCACGGGGGAGTCGTGCTGGCCACGCCCACCAGGTGACCTCACGGGCGGCCCCGCCGGCCGCCGGCCCGCGTGACGTCACGCGCCGCAGGCCGCCCCCCCCCGTCTTGCTCGGTGACGTCATCCGCCCCCTCCTGCCCCGACGCCGGCCTTTCTGCTGCCACTCCCACACACAAACCGCCCCTTTCTGCTGCCACTGTGCAGTAGTTCTGTGACCTCCTGACCTTATGATCTAGATCCTGGAGGCGGCCAACCTTAGGTGTCTTTAGAGAAGTGCCCGGGCAGAGGGGGTGGAGGTGGAGGGATAGGACTCAGGGTTAGGGCACGCCCCTGGCACTGCACGAGGCTAGGCTGACCACACTTTGGAAGGTTTCGCCTGCGGATCCCCACCACGAGTGATCCCTGAGCATCATCGGGTGTGGCACCTAAAAACTAAATACAAAAAAAAAAAAATAGTAGCCGCGTGACTATTATGGAGAGGAAAAACAAAGGAGATTTAGCCCCTGGGACCTGGAAAACTCCAGTCCTGGCAGACTAGGACAGACTTCCCAGACAAGGGGAAGGAGCAGCAGCCAGTGGGCTCCTGAATGGGAAGCCCGCACCGTCTAGTGAAACAGTTTGTTCAAGCAGGACCCATTCCCACCCCCATCCCCACCTCATTCAGCGTTTAAACCATAGTAACCCAGCCCTGGGATTCCTCCCTGGGGACAAAGCTGATTTCTCCTGATGCCTCTCTCTATGGACAGGTGACCCCTGGGAGGAGACGTTTTGTCTCCTCCGAGGAGAAAAACCGAGTAAGATCACTTTTTTTTTTTACAACTGTTCTGCTTTTATCCACACGTCTGCTCCTTGCCTCTCAACTTTAACCTATTGCTGACACCTTCCCCGGGGTAGCAGGAGTATGGCCCAGTTAATTCTCCTCCTGGTCTCCTGGTGTTGTCCGTGTAAATACTCCCCCGTTTCTTGTTACTTTCCTCGCTCAGAGGAAAGCTCCTTAGGTAGAAGAGCTCACCGATCTTGGGCACTGCAAGGAAGCGCTTGTTGGATATCTAAATTAGATTCTTCTCCCATTTAGATTCTTCTAATCTAAATTAGATTCTTTTCCCAAGTAGAGAGCAAAATCTCTTTTACTGACCATTTCCCTCTCCTTTAGCGAACCCAAACTCTTCGGTAAAGGCTCTGCAAAAGCACAGAGTAGTGCATCCTACCCAGGGTCATCTAAGGGAGGTCGAAGATTGAGAGAATCCCAATCTGATTCTGTTCTAAGGGGCGTTCACGTCCAGTCCCGAGCAGAGCCTGCTGTAGCAGGGCAGAGTGCTGGGTGCTTGGGAGCAGTTGTTCCTGAGGAACCCTTTAAATCTGATCTATAGCTGGTAGCGATGAAACCCTTCAGAGGCCTTTAATTATAACAGAAGATGGCGAGAGATGCTGGATGGATGCGTGGATCATTTCATACCCATGTTTTTATTTCTGTTTCTTTCCTACGCCAACATTCTCCGAGCCCAGGAGAACAAGGACTGTATCGGTATTTCTGTCTCTACAAGTCTGACATAAAGCCTGGCCCACAATTAGTGTTCAGAAAAACTTTGTTGAATGGAGAATGCGTAAAGCACATGTCTTATATCTTTTTCTGGACCTTAAAATCTTGGCTAAGTGATTTTCTTTCGCCGAAGCCTTCTCTGACAGTCCAAAGCTAGACCCGTCCCCACGCGTCCCTGCATCTTCTCCAGGACAGCTTGCATTCATGGAATTAGAATTGTGCTTGTTTACTTGTATTTTGTCTGGGCCCCTGCTCGAATATAAACTCTAATCTCGGTAAAAGCTGTCTTTCTCAATCATCATTGTGCCCTCGGTACCATGCACAGCACATGGTGTACGGCAACTGTAAATGCATGAGAAATAAATGAATAAATGAATGGATAAATGCTTTGAAGGTAGATATAGTTGGATTAGGTGAGTATTTGGAAAGGGGACATGAAAGAGATTATGAAGTCAAAACTTCTGAAAACTGAAAGAAATGGTGGTTAATTACAGGAAGAGCTGAGTCACAGTGGGGAAAGATAATAAGTTCTTGTGGCCGGTTCAGGCAGCTTAATTTCATCACTGAGATCCCTTGCTGAAGGTGGTAAGAGATTTCAAAACATGTTGGTGACCTTGGCATTGGCCTTTCCGGTTTCTCTTCTTTCATTTTTATTTTTCAAGTGATAAGGATGAAGAAACTAAACTTTAGGTTAGAATATAAGAAAATTGAGATAAATATTTCCTTAAAAAAGAAAAGCATATTGCTGCCATGCCATATTGGATCAGAATAAGTATGCATGTACCCTGGAGACAGACATTCACACCAGCTGCCTCCCACCTCTCCATAACTGAGATTTAAAAATTGGAAACTTTCCCACAAAAATACCATAATTGGCTCCGAGCACACGGACATCCAGCCAGTTGCTGTTCTTGTTAATTGTGTGAGCTACCTCCTTCTCATTCAAGCTGAAACCAAATGAAAAGGAGGAAGGAGAAGCTGTCCCACTTCTTCCATGCTCAACTTTGATCATCTATTTTTAGTCTTATTCAAATTTGATGCAGAGGCGATAGTTCTGCTTTTATTGCTACAAAAGAAAAATGTACTAAAAATCAAGATGTCAGAAACAAAATGTAGGTGAGGTGAAAGACTTCTATTTCCTCCTTCTATAAAACATGGGAAATTTCTCAGGAATCTTTTTATTCTAGCCCTTTTATTGTTCCCTTTCTTCTGCCATATCCGAGAGGAGGGGAGAGAGGGAGAGGGAAGGAGGGAGAGCGAGAGAGAACGAATCTATCTAAAGAACGCAAGATGGTGAGTGGTGACATAAAGCCCTCTCCTCAGATGCTTCCAGAAGGAGATGTGGGGACAAAGAAACAAGCCAGTGTGCTTTGTATAGCCACACTTGGATTCTTTCTCTATTTCCTTGATCAACTCGTGCTCTGAAATAAATTTCAAAATATGTACACCAAAGTTTCTTTCTCCCAAATTTCACCACCCAGGCCATCCCCTAGATCTCTGCAAACAATACACAGCTGCACTTCAGAGTCATCAGAGGTAAACAATGTGTACCCTTGGGGGAAGGGACAGGCTAATCTTAAAGTTAGGTGGAAATGGGCCGAGAGATAATGCAGTAGGTAAGGCACTGCCAACCTGTGCTCCATCCCTGGTATCACGTAGGGTCCCCTATCACTGTCAGGAGTGATTCCTGATCGCAGTCAAGAGAAATTCCTGAGCACCTACTAGGTGTGACACTCCCACGCCAACCCCAAAAAATGCCTAGGTAAAAAAAATAAATGGTTTTAGGGGCTGGAGAGAGAGCACAGCGGGTAGAGTGTTTGCCTTGCACGCAGTTGACCCGGGTTCGTTTTCCAGCATCCCGTCTGGTGCCCTGAGCACTGCGAGGAGTAACTTCTGAGTCCAGAGCCAGGAGTAACCCCTGTGTATCGCTGGGTGTGAACTAAAAAGCAAATAAATAAATAAATAAATAAATGGTTTTAACTTCGACATTCTTCTTTCTCTTCCTGCTCCTCCACCTCCACCTCTTCTCTTCTTCTTCTTCTCCTCCTCCTTCTTCTTCTCCTTATCCTTCTTCTACTCCTTCTCCTCCTTCTTTCATTACCTGACTGCTGAATTCTTAAAATCCACTAAATCATTGGGCTAATTTCCCTGATTTCCCAAAGTCACTCAGAGAAAATATACCTTGAATAATTTATATTACTCTATGCATCGGTTTTTCCATCTAGAAATAGTCCCTTCTGTGCTATGCCCACAGGTTACTCTCAGATAAATAATAATTATAACTTCACAAAGAACTTGAACAAAAATGGAATTGGTACAAATACTACTATAAATTATTAAATGCCACAGATCTGCTTTCCTATTGACATAACATAGCCAATATTAATATTGCCTCCAATATCTCAAATATCTTTCTCAAAATCTCCTATGACTGTCGTTATTTTTTAATCTACAAAAGAAGTCATATAAAAATTAAAGATTCTGGATTCGGAGAGATAGAACAACACGTAAGGCACTTTGCCTTGCACACAGCTGACCCAAGTTTGATACCCAATACCGAACGGGGTCCCCCAAGCACCACCAGAAGTGATCTCTGAGCAGAGCCAGAAATAAGCCCTAAGCACTGCTGCTTGCGTCCCCCCAAATTGAAGAAAACACTTTAAATTCTGCTCCAGTGAGCTCTGAACTCGGCTCCACTGGCCTCTACGTGGTCTCGGTTGGCACTGGCGCTGTTTTGGACTACAGAGTTCTAATAGGACGTTCCTTTCAAAAGGGAAACCAAGTTTTATCTTTTCCAAGACAGGCTTCCCACGAATCAGAGCATTCCCTCTTGCACCGTGCCTTCACCCTCTTCACACTCCCTCTTCCCCGGGGCCTTCGCCACTGGACTACCTCAATGTGGTTCAAACTATCGGGTATATGCCTCTGGACAGCTGTAAAATCAATTCAGGGGGGTTCCGAGTGAACTTTATTTTTTTTGGTAAAGAACTGGAACAGAATTGCAAATATTGGAACACACGGCATACAGAAAGTAAGAAGCTACCGAAAGAAAGCTGCTTCTGTCAACCATGTACATTTAAGAAGTTAGTTTACACATGCATATAGTCTTCGTCATGATATAAAGTTTATTTCTTATTATGAAGGCATGACTCTTGTCTTCTCACCTCAAGAAGAGCATTTTCGGTTC